TGGAAGCAACCTAGATGCCCCTCAACTGAAGAGTGGATAGAGAAAATGTGGTACATTTACACAATGGAGTATTACTCAGCGGGAAAAAAAACAATGGAATCTTGAAATTCACAGGTAAATGGATAGCACTGGAAGAAACCATCCTGAGTAAGGTAACCCAGTCACAAACAGACAAACATGGTATGTACTCACTCATATATGGATTTTAGACATAGATCAGGATAGTGCCAGTCTGCACTTCCACTGATAGAGAGCCTTGGAAATAGGAAAGAACCTAAAAGATATGCATAGTACCCAAGAGAAGAGGAAGGAGGCAAGACCCTCTGAACAGATGGGGAACATGGCGAGGGGTGGGGGGGAGTGGGAGCTGGGAAGAAGAGAGGGGAGAAGGGGTAGAGACAGTAGGTCACGGGGAACAGGAAGGTTGAGTGGGGGGTAGAATAGGGGGAGGAGAGAATCATGGGTTAGAAGACTGATCAGGCACCAGTGTGACCTCTAGTGATCTAAAGGGATGACACCAATTGGCAAGCTAAGCAATAGTGGAGAGACCACCTCGAATGCCCATTCCTGATAATGAGCTTGATGTCTATAACCATCTGGGAGTCTTCATCCAGTGACTGATGGAAGCAGAGGCAAACACCCACAGTTAAGCACTGAACTGAACCTAAGGAACCCAGTGACAGAGAGGAGCGATGAGCAAATTGGCAAAGAATGTGCTGGCAAAACCAGCAGAGACAGCTGATCTGAACAGGGGAGAGCTCTTGGACCCCAGACCGACAGCGGGGAGGCCAGCATGGGAGGCCAGCATGGGACTGATCCGGACCCCCGAATGTGAGTGTCAGTGAAGAGGCCTGGGCAACCTATGGGGCCCTGAGCAGTGGATCAGTGTTTATCCCTGGAATACAAACAGACATTGTGTGCCCATAGCACAAAGAGGGATGCTCTCTCAGCCTGGACTCTTAGGGGAGTGCCTGGACCCTACCCTGAGTGAAATGACAGACTCTAGATATCCCCTATGTGGAAGGAATTGGCAATAGGGTCAGAGGCTGGGGGAGGATGGGGGGTGTGGGAGGAGGGGAGGGAGAGGGAACTGGGATTGACATGTAAAACAAGCTATTTAAAATTAAAATAAAAAATTTTTTAAAAAATTAAAAATTCATCCAATTATTAACAATGTACATGTTTATGAATGCTATATTAGGTTTGGGAGAATTATGCCTTCAATAATTTTTATTTTATTTTGCCTTACATATTAAATATCAAAATGTACACATATTAATGGGGTACCATGTCATGTTGTTCTGGAGTCTTTAAATCAATTTAAGCATATTTATCTCCTCCTCAAACATTTCTTACTTCCTTATGATGAAAAATATTGAAATACTTTCTTCCAGACTTTTAGAATAAACAGAATATCATTGCCATGTATTGAATTTTATACTTGAATGAAGCAACTCTTTAATGTGAAAAAAATCTTTCTTCCAAGGTAATTGTCTATTTAGAGCAAAAGTACTAACTATGCATACTAGGTTTAAGATATGTTCACAAATAAAACCTAAGGCAATAATCGTTCAAATAGAGGGCTTGGAGATGAAGGTATTCTGCAATGGAATTCTTCTATTATTAAAAAAAATCAATATGCATTCACATGTAGATTGTGTAAATAACGTGTGCATTGTGCACCCTGCAACAACCATTGATACCTCAGTAGTAATCATCCAATAAATACATAGCATGAAATGTTAAAAAACACATTCAAATTTCCAAGGAACAGATAGACAAAAGAAGGAAGAAATATAGAATAAATAGAAAACTAATGTTAACATGACAGGCTTGAATCAATAGGTAAATTAAATACTACAAGTGAAAGACAGAAATTAAATCATACCTAGAAAATTTCTTTTTAGGAGGGTGGGGCACATGGACAGATATGTGTTCAATATACAATTGTGTGAAAGCTTAAACAATAAAACACAAGAGTAAACTTCCCTTTAAGTACAGAAGTATGCATCTATCATCTATTTATATCTCTGCAAAATGGAATCATAGCAAAGCAGAGTGTGTACACTATTAAAAGGCAAAGCAGATGAAGGCAAGAAATATAGTTGGTGAGAAAATGAGATATTTCACGATGATAAAAGAGTCAATTAATGAAGAAAAGAGTCGTCTCAAATTTAAGTGGAAAAACTCAGCACTTGCATAATTGCATTTGGATGTGACTGTCTCATCACTCAGCAACTGACAGACCAGGGGGATGGTCAGTGAGGGGGAGAGAAGGCTTCTAAGGCTAAGCACAAATTGGGCTTATCACATGCACAAGAACAAACGTATGTGTACTCTTTAAACATGTATCAGGTTGCAGCATGGTAACAGTTCTGATGAGTTAGCCTATATTCTGTATCATCTGATCACAACAGTTAAAGTGCAAGTAAATAAAAACATTTCCCCTCTCATACCAGTATTTGTGAAAATGAACACTAGCCTTCAAAGGAAAATCTATATTGAGGAAGAAATCATGGAAACGAGTAAAATATTTAGAAGTTAGTAAAATCATAGCATATTACATTTTGTGTACAAAATTTTAAGTATGTATGGGTATGTGTACTCATGCCTGTGTGTGCATGCAAGCACATGCACCGTGTGCATGCAGTAACCCGCACAGGTCAGAGAAAGGTAGTCGAGTGCCCTGGATCTGGCGTTGAAAGGCAGAATAGCTGGGCTCTAGTGTAGACGTGATGGCCCTGGCTGTTAGTGACTGTGTTCTCATGTTGGCATCTAGGCATCTGAGTTTGGGATGATTATAGTCTAGGTGCTGATTTCCGGGTTTGCCTTTGTTGGGGTGGGTGTTTCGTTCCTTGGTTTCTGTTTCCCTTCTGCATTTTCAGAGAGTGTGATAGCCCTGTGTTGCCTTTTTCCTGGCCTGCTCAGCTGGTGTGTTCCAAAGGGAATGTCTGTTGGTATTGGAGGCTGGTATGCAGGGAAGCAGTTGTGGGGAGGGAAGTTAGGAGGGGATGGTCTTTGGGATCCACAGATGTGGGCAGGGAAGGGAGGGAAGCTCTAGCTGGTGATCTGTTACAGCGTTGGTAACAAGACTAAGGGACTGGGCTTAGGGGACCAGAGAAAGAAAGAGGATATTGTCTGTGGGCAGCCTGCTTGGTTATCAGCTGGCGTGTCTATGCAAAATAAATAAATCTTTACAAAATAAAATTATATGAATATTTCAGTTGACTAAGAAAAAACACAATTTATGAAACTTTAAGTAGAAAAATGTCTCAACAAACTTAGATGGTAACTTTTGTAACTGTGAGAAACCTGCGTCAAGTACCACACAGTGCTTAGTTACTTCCTAAGATAAGGAGCGAGGCAAAAATGTTGTCACTATCTTTATTTGACATTGTAGTGAATGCTCTAAACAAAGCAAAAGAGCAAAAAGAAAAAGTTGGAGATGGGGGGACAGAACACTTGTGGTAATATATGGATGCTACTCATGGATAGGAAACTCTTAGAATTTACCAACATTGGCAGCATTACTCAATATTTTCTAAGGTCTTAGAATTTAAGATACTTATACATAAACAAATGTTATTTCTATGTACTAGAAATGAATGCCAAAAAAATAAAATTTGGAAATTCACATAATTCACAATAACGTCAAAATAAGAGATACGATTTTAACACTTTCCATTCTGAAAAGCTTAAAACATTGTTTAAGAAAGGATCCAATAAGTGAAAATGTACCTAAGAAATGGGGACACCTATGAACAAGAAAATTAGATATTGTTGTACAAATTTATCTTGGTTTTATTCAAATCTTCTACCAAGCGTTTGAAAGAATTGTTTACCATCTAAATGTAGTGTTTATCAACAGCTTGGAATATTTCGATTAAATATTTTAGAGAGATTAAAGTTTTAGGACTTAGCAGTTCCTGACTGAGACCCAATATGATATATATATATATGTATATATATATATATATATATATATATATGGGAAGATACTGAGAAGCAAATGTGTAGAGCCATCAACTAATGAGGTCAAATAGAAACTTAGAAATAAACCCAAAGACACATGGTCAGTTAGTTGATTTTGACCAAGTTTCTAAGGCGTATCAAAAGAGAAAGGATAATGCCTTCAACAGATGATGTTGAAACAACTCACCATCATAGAGGAAAATAAAAACTAAATTTCAACCCTTGACATACATTGTACCCAAAATCTAATTCAAGATGAACCATAGATCTAAAAATAAATATTAGAACCCTAAAGGTTCTGGGGAAAGTCAGAGGCAAAAACATTTGAAAATTTGGGGTAGCCATGTGTATTTTTAGTCAGGGTACACAGATTTTGAAGTATAAAGAAAAAGAAAATAACTTTAGACTTGAGCAAACTCCAAAAGAATGTAGATCAAAGAAGGAGACTTAAACTTGTGAAGAAGCTGCCACCAGACTTGTTTTCTTATTCTTAAAACATGTGAGAGGTAGACAGAAGAAATAAGCCTCATTTAGCCAAGGTATAGCTGAAGCTTAAAATTTCAAACTATAGGGAGAGACAGGTTCAGAGGGGAAAATGAGCAGTAGAAATGTCCTTTTAAAAGCAAGAAGAAGCCATGGCAGTTACAGGTGGAAGGCAGGATGTCCCTTTCTGTTTGTGTTCAGCACCAAACCCGGCATACTCAAAATCATCTGTATCAAGAGTTAAGAACTGCAGTGGTAGAGCATATACACCTTTAATCCCAGCACTCTGGAGACAGGCATGTGCAGCTCTGTGAGTTCCAGGCCAGCTTGGACTACAGTTCAAGTTCCAGGGTAGCCAGGGCTACACAGAGAAACAGAGAAAACAAACAAGCAAACAAAAGACGCTATGATCTCAGACATCTCAAACTCTTCATCTCTTCTAATCCTTTCTTCTCTCTCATCTCTCCCCCACTCATTATCTCCTTACCTCCTTTCTTCCTGTTTTTAGGGGAAAGTGTGTGCTTGTTTTTACTTACGTGTATGTCTTTGTGTATATGTACATATGTGCACAGCTGCCCGTGGAGGCCAGAAGAGCGGGGCATCCATTCCCCTTGAGATGTAGGTGCAGGTGTTTCTGAGACCCAAGCAGCAAGTGTTCTTAACTGATCCATTTCTTCAGCCTTCCACCTTCCTGTCCCTCTTGCTCTCTCCATAAAGCCATAATTCTTCTGAGGGTGGGGACTGTATCCTTCCCTTCTGTTTCTCTCTTCAGTAGGGCACAGCATGGTGCTGGAATCATGCAAGACACTCAACAAATCACCAATGAATGATGAATAAAGGCATCCACATACAAGAGGAGGGCAGGGCAAGCTACATGTTTATGTTTAAGTATAGTAATACCTAGGCTGCAAACCAGAGAGTTTTACCTTCATTGTTCTGAGAGAGGGATCAAGCGTTGGCTCTGCTGCACATGGTAAAATGTTCAACATTTTGACTTCTCTCAGACTGTCCTCACCCGTGTTAGAGAGGGGCTGTTGAGGTGTGTGTTCAAACAGAATCCTGTTAGGACAGAGGTGGGGCGTGTGTTGTTAGAGTAAATGAAACAAATAAACAGTGCTTCTGTCCCTAAGGGCTCTGATGTTGGGATGGGTGGGCTGCGGTAGGGCTGGGAAGTGTAAGGAAGATCATGCCTGTGTAGTATTTGCAGTAACTGTCAGTGACATCTTTAGCATCAAAAACTCTTTAGCAGAGAACACTAAGGAGCAGAAAAGCAGGCCACCTGTGTGGCACGCATACCAAACAGGTGTCTCCCGGTTAATCCTGGAATCTCTGCCTGGCACACATGGGAGAGAAACCAGGGGAAGTGGCACGAGCCTGGGCGCTCTTTACAGCAGTGCTGGGGAGCAGACTCTCCTGGAACTCTTCCAAAGTCGCTTCCAGAGTGCCCCTGCCCTTGTGTGGTTCTTCTAGGCCTGGAAGCCCAGAGCAAAGGCCTGACAGCAACAGCTGCTGAGGATTCCCTGCAGATGAGAATGAAAGTCAAACTTGCTTGCACATTCAAAGGGGATTATCAACAGAGTATGTGGGTTTCTTCCCTGGGTCTTTGCAGCAGAAAGCCTATGTTTCTGGAATAGTAATGACTTCCCTCTCTTCTGTCATGGCTTTCTGACCAGAGCTCCAAGACATTCTATTTTGTCATTTGTCCACTTATGAAAAGGAGAGAGGAAAGAACATGAATATCTCTCGGAGACTGTCCATCCTGTTTGACCTGGGATTAGCTTTAAGTCTCCCAGCATTCAGGATTCCCCTCACTCAACGTGGACAACAGGCCACACTGCTTCTCCTAGTCAAAACTGACCCTCACCAAGTGCCAGCCTACCATGTGCCCAGGTAAAAGGACCTTTTGTTATTTTTATACATGTATGTCACAAGTAGTTCTTGTTAAATCAAAATTAGAAAGCACATACACAGAGGCATATATCTGTATACATATGACCAAGCAAATCCAAACCAGCAAATTCAAATAGAGCTATTTTTTTTTGTTTTGTTTTATTTTTCAAGACCAGGTTTCCTCTGTATTGTTTTAGAGCCTGTCATGGAACTCAATCTGTAGACCAGGTTGGCCTGGAACTCACAGAGATGAGTGCTGGGATTGAAGGCATGCGCCACCAACACTCAGCCTATTGTGAAAATATATCCAGTTTGCATTGTCTAGGAATACAACCACATTACATAGGGGTGAATTTGTGGAGTTGCATGTTTATGTACACACACACATACACACACACACACACACACACACACACAGATGTAAAAATACACTCAGGGCTTTGTATTTTTGCATTAGTGTGGCTTCCTGATTGTTCTGCCCGTGGCTCTCATCATTTTAAAATCTGCACTGTGTGCCATTGCACCCCCATTTCATGTCTGCCTGCCAATCACTAACAATGCGTTCAAGGTTTGCTTCTTCCAACAGCATAGGTACCCAAGATTTTCAGCCTTAAATGTAGAGCTGAATATAATTCCACACGATTGAGACTTACATAAGATTCCTTGGTAGTTTCAGTGTCCACAAGGTTTAATCCTTCCAAAATTGCCAGTAGAGCTCATTTGATTTCTTTCAAACTCACCAACCTGGAGACAAAGATTTGGGTGATTTATTTGGCAATCCCAGTTAGTAAAAGAAGATGAAGAAAGAGAAGCCAAGAGTTGCCAGTTTGGGACTTGGAACTCCCTATCAGAGACCTTCAAAGAGACTAGACTATGGTCCAACTGCATCAGAGAGGCCAGGCAGTTGGGTTTTTATTTCTTCACATAAAAGTTTGAGAGTTACCACTGACATATTAATCCACTGCCCCCTGAAGACCAAGGAAACACCTGTGACCAGAGAATGTCCATAAGTATCGACCCAGGGAGCCATTAGACCTTATGAGAACTGTCTAGAGTGATCTACAGAGTAGGCCAAGGAGGCCCTGGAGGGGACAAACCATGTTTTCCTCAGTTCCTTGGCTCTCATAGCACCTGCTTTCCTGTTCCCTGGGTTGTCACCATAGCATCCATTTTCCAACCTTATCCTCTCTTTTTCACTCTCCTCCAACAACTTAGCACAATTTTTCACCACCCTGGAACCTATAAAAGCATAGACACAGCCATCTCTTCTCTGTCACAGTCTTCAAGCCCTCATCGATCACTGGCATCATTAAAATCACTTACTTCAAAGTTCATTCCTTAGCTAAACCCACATTTTATGTGTCTGCTACCTTCTGGACAATCACCTCCTGCCACAGTCTTTCAAACACTACCATCCACACTCATCCTCACACTCAGATGGTTATCATTACTTTCTGTTTCCTTTCTTTTCTCTTTCATGTATGTTTTCATTTTTCAAAAAAAAACCTATTTTTCATTTTACATACCAACCCCAGTTCCCCCTCCCTCCCCTTATTCCTCCCCCACTTCTCCCCTTCCTACCCCTCATCCACTCCTCAGAGGGGGGTAAGGCCTTCCTTAGGGACTCAGCAAAGTCTGGCATACCAAGGTATGTACACTCATAAGTGAATACTAGATGTAAAACAAAGGATAAATGTCGTTGTAACGATAAACGGCACACTTGTTGAGGGTATAGGTAACTGCTTATTGTAGAAATTACTTACAAGAGAAAACGGGCAACCCTGATGAGTCAAGAAGCCTTTGCTACCAAACCGGAAGCTGAAAAAGAGAGCGAATGTGGTTCTGCTACAGTCTTTTATAAGAACCTCCGTACACGCCTCTAGCTACGCCCAAAAGTGGGCCTGGCTAGAAGCATAGTTCACTGTCCTGTCTGTTAGTCATGCCCAAAGTGGGTGTGGTTAACAGCACAGTTCTGCCCTTTCGTTACCACATCCTTATGCGTGGCTAATGGCGCAGTCCTAAGTTTCCTCCTACAGATAACCAGGCTACAATTCCACAACCTAAGAGAAGCTAGGTGAAGAGGGGGGACCCTAAAAGGGCAAACATGGTGGTCCCAAGGAAGGGAAAATAGTTAAGATCTCCTGGGTCTTAACTGGGAGGTGGGGAGAAGGGAGGGGATGAGAGATAAGAACATGGATATCAAGAAGGGAGAGCAATGAAAGAGATACCCTGTTTCTTTTCTTAAAAAAAGAAAAGAAAAAGAACCTTAATCACTCAGAATAAAGCATTCAAGTTCCTTCAGAGGCAAAGCAGCCAGACTCACCTGTCAACTGCCAATAGGTATTGAGGAAGGGGCAGATCCTAGAGAGAATTTACTCCACCTAGGAGGATTTCAGCTGTCTTAATCCTGCTCAGGTAACTCCAGCTGCTGTGACTTAATGAGTAAAATGACCTTATCTAGAAGGCAGCATTGTGCAACACACTTCCCCATCCTCCAGCTCTCTCTCGTTCTCTCTCTCTGTGTCTCTCTCCCTTCCATTTTTCCTTCCTCACTTCCTTCCTTCCTTCCTTCCTTTTTTTGTCTACCCTTGTGATGTTTCCTGAGTGTTGGTGGTGATGCTGATGGTGGTAGTGTGACATAGGTACCCCATTTAGTGCTAAACATTCAGTCATTGATTATCAGTACCTGGAACAGTTATTCATCTCTCCACTGACTGCTACCCACTACAAAAGGAAGCTTCTCTGACCATGGTTAACATCAGCCCAAGTCTATGCGTGTGAACATAAACATTTAGACAGCATTTTGATAACATGAACACTTAGCAGAATAACAATAGCAGTGTCTACCCTAATGCTTATGACAAGACATGACATTCTTTCTTGCAGATCAGGACTCCAATCCAAGTAGGAAGTGATTAATTACCTCATAACAGTCATGGCGCTTTGTATCTAACTCACAGATCAGTATTTCAGCTCACAGTGCCCAGAACTGGGCAAGACCTTTGATATCTTTATTGTGACTTCTTTTATTGTTTTATTAAAAAATAAAACTTGGAAATTCAATATTAGGGAATAAACCATGGAGCAATGGAAAAATATTCACTTGCTCTACTCACTGCTTTCCCTGATTGAAAAGGCTGCACATCTCCTAAGGCCACCCATTATTCCTCCCGTGTGTCCCTCTAGCTTCTTCTGAGTCCTCCAGAAGACTCTGTGGTCCACTCTGGCCACATTAGTGTGGACTCTGCCCTCTGAACCAAGATCTGACCCCATTGGCAATCTCAGAACAGCAACACAAACAAATCTGCAATCTCCCTGTTGTCTAAATAAAAAGGATTTTAACTCTAACACAGGAAAAATATATACAATAAGAGCAATAATCAAGTATTATCTAAATAAAAAGGTATTAATTTTAATAAAATGAAACTATGTACAATAAGAACAATTATAAAATAAGAATACATTCACAATGCCCAGTCCATTTGTATTTAGCAAATTCAGAGATAATACTCCATTATCTATCCCCTCTTGGCGAGTCATAAGTTTTGTACCTAATTTACTTTTTATCATAACTAAGGGAAACTGTAACTAAAACTACCTATTCTTTAACCCTATCAAAGACCTGAGAAGGATATAACATTACCTGAATAAACAGGAAGTTCAGAACAAGCAACTTCCAAAACTATAGGATTGACAGAAACAGCTGGCTGCCTGGAGGGTCACACAAGATTCCTTTGCAATGTTGGGACATCCATCTTCCATCTACAGGCCTAGAATATCTGGCAGACTTTTCTGTGAAGCAGGAAATTTGAGAGACTGTCCTATATTGTCTTGGCAAAGTTTCAGCAGTTGCCTACGTTTGTGTCCTGCTTGTCTAATTTGGACAACATGTTGTCAGCTGTTGAGGCAAGAGCAGTTTCTTTGCCCAGTGGCTGACTTTACTACATTGAAAGAAAACTCCACAAGCAGGTTCTTCAATGTCCATCATTATTTATTGAAGTAAATTGTTGCTGCCTGGAGCAGACATGTTTCATGGTCATGAAAAGTCTTATGTTATTAGAACATTTTAACTGGCATATTCTGTAGGTCTAAGAAGTGTTTGAAGACCATCTATCAATTTAAAATATATCTGTTTGACCTTGAAAACATATCTAATATGACTATAAGTTTGATTGTTATAGATGATTTTTAACCTGTCTTTCTTTCTTTTCCTTAATAGTATTCAAGGACTAGAACTTTACATTTTTAAATGAGCTGAATAGGTACAATATCTTAAAGAATAGAAATATATTATACAATATAACAAAATGGCCTTAAATTTATATCAATATACAAAAATCTATACCAATATAAACTATTTGAGACTAGTAACTACTTCGTTAGTTTAAAAGCAGATTCAATAATCTACCCTTTTATCCAACCAATCCTATATCTCCCCCTTTATTTTTCTTTTCAGAATGAGTTCCCTGTATCTGATCTCCTTTGCTTAGTTTCCTCCCTGGCTATAACCAATAACAACGTGCAACCAATCCCCTAAATGATGAAAATCATCCATCAAATGACCAGAAAAGCAAAAACAAAACCACCCACCCCCACCTCTGGGAATGTGGGTTTCTTACTCTTA